TGGTCGCCGACGATTGGTCCGCGCCAACGTACGTGGATCCGATGTGCATGATCGCAGTTAAGCCGACGGTATGTTTTCTCAGCTGCAACATAGGTCGGAAACTTGCAAACTGTAGGTTGAAAATTGCGAGCACAGTCTGTACAGATTTTTCGGCTGACAACAGACTTAAAGACGTCTGTTGCATGATGCTGCATGTTTGAGAAGCAATGGAATTGTTGACTTCCGCTGCTGCATCTAAATGAAGCAAATGCAGCCGATATTTTATTGACACGGTCGTGCTTGATCATTGGGTCAACTCACGATCCATCTCTTCGTGGGATAATACACAGTGAGAGTACCATGTTTTGAAGATTTGCTGCACTCCTAGCGTGTGCAGAGTGTACAGAGGCCAAGGGCCAAGTGAGGGATGATGAGAAGCCCCAGTACGGGATGTAAGAGCAGGCCCAACCTTAAGTTGACAGAAGGACAAGAACAAACACAACGACAGCATCGATGTCCCTGTAAAACCGATAAGAGTAAACATCATTGCAAACAGAAGTACCGGTCAAGCAAGTGGGGGGGTCTTTTCAAGCTCCCTCAGGTGCCTTGAGCTGTTCGGCGCAGTGTGCCCGTCATTACTGACCACACACACTGAATAGACAGTGAATAAACAGTAGACTTGCTAGACGATGCTGCGACAGACAAAGGGCACTGCTCCAGCCAATGAAAACGGGAATGACATGCCTGATATCATGATATATTCGAGCCCCGCGGGAGGTCCGCCTCTGCTGATACAATCACCACGTCTCGGACTCGAGTTTGGGTTGTAGTATCGGGGTCAGCAACGACAGGAGGCTGCATCGAAAGCCCTGGACACTCAGCAAGCCAGCTTTGTGCCTTTTGTGTTCCTGTGCGTCTTTGTTTCACCTTGTGCAGTATCGTAGCCTGTAGCCACCCGTTTTCGCCCTCGGCGCTCTCTTCGTCCAGTCTGCTTTCCGGTAGGCAGCCATTCTTAAGCAGCAAGCCTTGACGTGCCGTTATTGCGAGAACTCGAATCAGTACTCGTCGCCTTGTGTGCCCGATCCGAAGGCAAAGAAGTGCTCAAGCTCGACTTCCCATCCTGTAGCAATCGAGATCAAGCACATGGCTTCGTCTCGATGTTCGGCACAAGTGGACTGGGAGTCCACGGATGGGATCTTCCTGCGCAACATCCCTGCTAAGTGTGATGAACAAGCTTTGCGCAACTTCGTGCAGGCGAAGGGGGTGACAGATTTCAGCGCAGAGATGGCCGTGTTTCCGAATGGCAATGCCAAGGGGTTCGCCTCGTTCCGCTTCAGTGCAAGGTCTGGAATGCAGGACTTCGTTTCCAAAGTCCATGGCCAGTTCATCCCAGGCTTTCAGAAGACAATGCCGCTGTTTTGCGAGCCACTGAGGGGCACAGAGTCACGACGAATCCTTCGCAGTAGAAGCTACATGCCTGCGCCATCACGGCCATGGGCACCCGGGCCCCGCGAGCACAGTTCCATCAGCGGGGAAGGAAGAAATTCCACCGGGAGCCACGGGAAGAGCAAGGGCACAAGCGGCTTCAGCACGATGGTCAGCGGTAAGGGTTTCCACATTGAGCCTGGATATCATAGTGCCTCTGCAAGCACGGAGGTAGCCAGCGGTGCTGGCGAGGCAACGTGTGGGGCCATGGTAATCGACCAGCAGCCAGCATGCACGACAGTGTTATGCTCAGATGGAAGGTTAAGCTTTATTCTTTAGCTTCGTCAGGCCCTCGTCGAAGTTTGAGCTCTGGCATGCGCTGCCTTGTGACCGTCTGGTCGCCGACGATTGGTCCGCGCCA